GATTTATTTCTCGGTGAACAATATGAGTTAATACGGCGCAACTCTTTACCAATGAGGTCAATCCCTCTTTTTCCTAAATCACTTTCTAAAAAGCCTAAGTCAAAATGGTGTGGAGCCACAAACTGATGCGTTGAAATAGTTGTGCTTAATTCTGAGTCTCTTTGGTTACATTCAAATACAACATCTCCTTCATTTCTTTCAATAATGGGTGGCCAAAGAAAATTAAAAAGAGATGTTGTGAAAACCTCCCATAAATGTTTAATAAACATTTTTCTATATACCCCATCTAATTTAATTGGTGAATTATTAGTACGATCCATTACTCCTTGCATCAAGTCATACATAACTTCAGCTCGTTCTTTCAATCCCATTCCTTTAACCAAATTTGGAAATCTTTTGATAGAAACTAATATATAGTCTTGAATAGTAGTATTACAAGAAAAAGAAAGAAAAGTTTTAAACACTTCATATTCATCTTTAATCCCTTGATCTATTTCATTGTTTTGTAAATACTTAGGAATTTTATAATCTTCAGAAATAGAAATTTTTTCATCTTTTATTTCTGTTTTATTTGCTTCTATCTTAATTGGTATTGTTTTACTGTTTCGTAATTCTTTAAATGTTTTTGATCGTCCAATTAAAGAAGAATCATTAGGAGATTTTGTTGTTTCAATAATACCTGAAATTGTTTGTCTTCTCATACCAATAACCTCAGAATGTTGATTTTGGTCCTTTTCATTTTTGCTTATAATAACTGTTTTCTTTTTTAAACTTTTATTATCTGAGACAACAAATTGATTAAAAGTGTCTTCGTCTGAAGTAGACTCACCTTCTTGATTAGCACTTTTTTCAATACTTTCTTGTTCAATAATATTGTTTTCGTTTTGTCTTATAAATTCTTGTTTAATACCATTATTTTCTTGATGAAATTCTTCATGAGCTCCTGTTTTTATTTCATCATTATTCTCTTGAATTTTTTCTTTAGGTATTTCTTCTTGTAAAACACAAGGACTTGTTTCTTTCAACTTTTCTTCTTTTTTCTTTTGTTCAATATAACGTAAGTTAGGGAAATCATTCCCAAGCAACTGATCAATATTATTATCTATAAATTCTACTCTATTAACTTTCCAATTATCAACACTATCCCAACACCATTCCCATGAACAACCTTCCCACCTAAATGGTTCATCAATAACTAATATAGGAATTGCACCAACTGGAGTGTGCAAGATATCTCCACCTAAGACATTTACACACAAATCTGTTTCTTCTTCTTGTACATGAGACTCTTTAGTAAGAAATTCATGCATAAGGTCATATTGACATTTCCACAAATTTAATGAATTCTTTTTATATTTAATAACTTCATTTTTCAATATACCAACAGTTCCATTCAATGCCATAAATGCTTTACTTTTTGGATGTCTGCGAATAAGGTGTGAGACAATGAATTCTGGTGTTGGAATTGAGATAGTATCGTGAGGTAGACATAAAGTTAGTGAGAATTGTAATGCACATAATACAGCATATCTTCCAACATCAGAAGATAACATGTCACAAATAATTGGAGAGTTATTAATAAATATTGAGTTATGAAGACGAGTGTTTTCAAGACATACCCCACCATGCATAGAAATGAATGTTGATATGAGTGGTTCAAATTTTAATTCAAATTGTTTTAAAGAAGGGTTGTTTTGATCATGATTTATTTTTTTAGGACTTAATCTCCCATTGATTCCATAAATTTGTTCAGAAACAACAGAACGATGTCCATAAGTTCTTGTAGTTTTCATGAGAAAATTGCATTTTTTATTTTCTTTTTTTTTATAGTTTTTTAACTTTTGGTATTAAGAATTTTGTCTTTTCGTTTTAGAAAAAATCTAGAAAAATTAAGATACTATTTATGATGGTAAAGAATAATTTAAAAAGAACTTAAAAAAGAAACAATAAATACTCAAATAATGCAAGAGAAAGAATATTGTGTTTCTGGGTTTAATTGGGGTAGGATAGATATTGATAAAAATTCAGTTCAATTAACACATGATGGGTACTTAATATTCAAAATGAATCCAAAAGATTTTACAAAAAGTTCTATCTCCAATAAAACTGAAGTTTCAATTGAGTTTGATGATTCTAAAGATGGAGATGCATTATCTGAAATTAAATTTTTTGCACCACAAACTGAACAACAAAATGATAAAGACAATGCAACAGAATTATATGACAAAATTGCTGAAGTTACTCCAACCAATGCAGCAGGTAAAGAAGTCTGTTTATTTGAGAACATTGGATTTTTGTCACCAAAAGGGCATTATGATGTAAAGATTTATGAAGACTCAGTGAGAGTACAAAATAAAACTTATGACTTCAAAATTAATTATAAAGATATTGCTCGTTATTATAAACTTAGAAAGGATGAAGATACATCATTCTTTATTCTTAATTTATCTAACCCTTTAAAAAAAGGAAAAAGTGTTTATGAATGCCTTGTTATGGAATTATCTTCAAATGAAGAAGTTACAGCAGAATTACATTTAACTAAAGAATTTGAAGATAAAACTGGATTAGAAGAATCAATGACAGACAATGAATTAGATCTTTTTGTAGAGTTATTTAGAAGTTTATGTAATGTACCAATTATTTCATCAGGACATAAATTTAAAACTAATGACAGTCATTTCTTAAAATGTAATTTAAGTACAAATGAAGGATTCTTATTCCCAATGAGTGATAGTTTTATCTTTGTATTTAAAAGAATTAGAATTATAATGTTTAAAGATATTAAGAGTGTTGATATTTTAAGAATGAATGCAAGTAATGATAATAAAACATTTGATTTTGTTATTAATTTAAAAGGAAGAAGAGGTAGTTTACAATTTACAGGAATGAATAGAAATGAATATGAAAACTTAGTTGGGTACTTAAAAGAAAGTCAGTTAAAATTAGAAGAAACATTACAAAATACTGAAAGAAGAATGGAAGAGGATGATGATAGTGGAGATAATGATGAAGAGTATCATGCAGAAGAAGAAGAATCAGGAGATGATGATATTATGTCAGAAAGTGAAGAAGAAGAAGAGGAACAACAATAAATTAAAACAAATATTTAAGGTAAAACAAAGATGAACAAGAAATAATTAAATTAATGAATTTTTTATATTAAGTCTAAGTTAGAAGAAAATAAATAATCAAAACTAACTGAAATGATTTTTATATTTCTTTTATATTTTATTTTGTGTGAATAACGGTTGATTTGGATAAGTCATATTTGTTCCATTTGTCATATTTGGATTTGTTGTATTAATGCTCGGATCAGGAAGACCAATTCGTTTCCATAAAGGATCAGAAATTAAATCAGCTTTTTGTCCTGGAAGTTTTCCATGAACAGCTAATTTTAACCTTTTTTCTTCTAATTTCATTTTATTATAATTTTCAAATACTTGTCGTCTTTGTGCTTCAATTTGACTTAATGTTAAAGAATCAATTTTTTTCTGTTCGTTTGCTCGTACCACTCTTTGTCTCTGAGCTTCTTCAAAATCTGCATTTACTTGTTTTTGAAATGATTTATTATCAAATGTTGTTGCATTGATTTGGGGTGGATTGGTTTGTTGCATACCCGTTTGTTGATTGGTTTGTTGAGGTGTAGTAGTGGGATATTGTCCATGTACTACATTAATCAATATGGTTATTACAAAAAAGAATAAAATCATAATTTTTTTAGTTCTTTAACATTTTTTTCCTTTTTTATCATAAAAATTAATTAACGCACTTATTTTGTGTTTTTATCAAAACACAAAATAAAACCCTAAAAAGAACAAAAAATCCTTAAGAAATGAAAGGAAGTAATTATCAAGATCTTGATTAGCCTGAGTAACGAGTGATGTCATATCGAGGAGGTTATTCTTCAAGTAATTATTATTCAAGGAGGTATTCTCCTGATGACAGTATGAGTGATTCTCCAATTAGTTATTCACCTAAACCACGAGATCGAGATAGAACGAATGAAAGAATGAATGAACGAGAATGGGAAATGATAAGACACAACGAATGGAATGGATACTCTCCACGAAGAGGAGTAAGACGGGATGATCCATACTTATCACCACGAAGAGATATTCGAAGAGAAGAACCGTATTTATCACCACGACGAGAAATGAGAAGAGACGATCCATATTTATCACCACGAAGAGAAATAAGAAGAGATGATCCATATTTATCACCACGACGAGATATTCGAAGAGAAGATGAGTGTGGAATGTTTTCACCACGTAGTCGTTCTGAAATGAGATTTAGAGAGAAACGAAGAGAAGAAGAACAAGAAGCAGAAACATACTTTAATAGAAATAGAAGAAATGAATGGTTTATAAAACAGTTTCATCCAATCAACTTAAGGGAAAGGAGAATGGCTAAACAACGACAAGTACAAGAGGCATATGATAGATTTATGAATAATATTACATTTCCGAATTATGGAGATGAGAAAAGTCTTCCTGACGATCCATATGATGGTAGAAGAGTTATGGTAATATCAGATCATGCTACGACAAGTGAAAGAATGAAAGAGATTGCACCACTTAAAGATCAAGTTGAAAAAGTTGTTATTGGAGATCCGAGATATAGGAAGGTTAGTGTTGGGTTTGTTGTATATAAAACTAAAGAAGCAGCTGCACAAGCAAAAACAATGCAAAGTGAATCTGACCGAAGTCAATTAAGTTCTATTCGATCAAAAGAACCACAATTACGTTATGCACCAAGAGATTTTAATGAAAAAGAACGATTAGATAAAGATTGTGTACAATTAAATCAACTTAT